CCTGTATCTCAAAAACGGAGCAAGTTAGGACACATATTCATATGAACTTTATTTGCTGGAATGTCATAAGGAAACACCCCTTGAATTTTTTCGGTGTTATTTAGATGTATAATACTCGAACTCGTGAATTATAAGATTTGAAAATTCAGAGACGTATTTAATATTCTTAGTTTCCAGTTTTTCTTCAAAGAAATATGCATACTAATACTTTAAAACAATGAATGATCTGGAATCTACAACGTTAGCTTGCCTACCTAGTGTAGAAATAATACCTGTCGGTCTGTCGCTTGATAGTTCCTGGAAATTAACAAACACTTGTAGAACCGTGTAGAACAATCCCTTGAAAGGTTTAACTCTAATTCATAGAGATTTGTGGTATATCCAAATTTCATTGGTTTCACATAATTTTCCCTTTGTAGAAAGTAAGAATTATGACTCAATTTTCATCTCATTCATTAGTCTCTTTAGTTTTGTTAAGCCATTTGTGATATATTCATAATTTTATATATTTCTTGCATTTATACTAATCGGTCGAAATCTTGAATTTTCATTGCAAATTCAAATTTGATTGGAGACGCCGCTGCATGCGAGCACAAATTAGTAATTGTCTAGGACATGTTGAAAACCCATGAAAATCATTACCTACTTGAAAGTTGCATAAATTAAAAAAAAACATTACAAAAAATCTGTTCAGATCAATTATTATTCATTTCATTCATAGTTGCCGAAGAAGAACCATGTCATTGTTACTTTTCACGTTCAAATAATTATAACACCTCTGAAAAACACCCTAGGAAAACATAGTTCGTTTCTAGGCAATAATTAAATAGTACTTATTGTGCTCAGGAAAAAATATTTGAATTCGACCAAGAGTCGTTGAAAACCGTTTCAGTAAGTATCTTGTAGAACTACAAGTTTGTCTCAGCTGAAGAAAAAATAGTTATTTATTATACAACGGAAAAAAGTAGAGTAGATTTCAGCTCTAGGTTGTGTTGAGACAAGAAACCGTGAGCTAAAATCTAATATTTTTCCCGTGTATGATACACAATTTTTTTCTGTGACAGGAAGAACCAAGAATCAATATTGAGAATATATTACACTATACAATACTCTTCACTCATCTGTCAGGGTATTGGAGTTCAAACAATTCAAATCTGTGATAAAAATGTTTCTCCTGAATAACTGTTCACTAAAGCTCTAATCATTTTTTCTGCCATGCTTATTATTATTATTTTTTTACCACACTTTTCAAGAATCTGATATGAATTTAAATCTGTCTGTTCTGTACGCTAGAATTCATGTATTCTCACAAATTTTACCTTTTAACTTTTATAATATTAATTATTTTTCTTTATTTGAATATTTACTAAGTAATTTACTTCTTCAATATTTAATATTGTTCTTCGAAAACATGTTCTGAATTAATCTATGGTAATAAAAGTCCATGGTATCTCAAAGTGGAGTGAATAGATTCATAAACAAGACACACTAAGTCATCTCCACAAATTTATTAACTGAATAATCAGTGTCTGAACATGTTTCGGAATATCAATAGTCCATCATCAGCAGAAGCATATTTTTAAATGACAATTCGTGGAAGTGAAAAAAAAGGAAGGCAACAATATTATTACGTGGTAGAATTTACATTATTACAAATAATGAAGGGCAAATTGTCATTCAAAAATATGCTTCTGCTGATGATGGACTATTGATAGTCCGAAACATGTTCAGACACTGATTATTCAGTTAATAAATTTGAGGAGATGACTTAGTGTGTCTTGTTTATGAATGTTCTTAATTGTGACTTGCCATAGATGTATTATTTGTATGTAGGGTGTCCCATAAGTAATGGATCAGAAGAAGTGGGGTTGAAGAGGGGGTCATTTGTAATCAAACTAACGGTATATTTTGTTATCAAATTGTTGATGGTTCAGAAGTTATTCATTTTTTCTGAAAATTACGACCCATTTGAAAAAAATTAATAACAAAAAGGCTGTTTTGAGTAACCCCATGTTATACCATTTCGGAATCTGTATTAAATGGGCAACTTTTTCTTATGATTGGTTATCTTTCTGGGGTAGTTTTTAAATCTGCCAGCGGCACCCAGTTGAGGCCACTGTCCTTTTAAAAGCCAAGCTACAGTTTTCTTTATTGTGTTACTCCTGGCGTTTATTGATAGAGGAGACTAGGATGTTGTACTTCGGTAACTATTATTTCAACAGGGAAATACACTGTTCTATGTTTTTGTGAAATAAAACAGAATATTTTAGTCATTTTTGAGGATCTTATTTTTGTGTGTGAGACATGGATAATTGGAGGTGAGTGTTTATCATCCCCTAGACACTTTTTTCTTGTTAATATGCAAGAAACAGTTGAATGATGAACTGAATAATTGTTGCATATGGAATTGAGGTTAGAATAACGTTCTTGGTTGACAATACACTGATGAAAAATCAAGTGTCCTTTTAAAAGGACGATGGCCCAATCAACTGACACTGTTTCAATTTCCAGTTATCTCAAGCGCCCCCTGAAATTACATGAATTGCTGGAAGAACTCGAGAATGATGATATAGAAATCCCAGAAAATATTGTTATATTTTCTCCAGATGATGCAAATAATGAAAATACGGATGAAGACTCAGGCGAAGAGGACAATGTTGGGTTGAATAACTTACCTGGAAGTCAGCTACGCGCGGAGGCCGAAGCTGATTTCATGGTGGATGATCATAAAATGGGAACAATGGATTATGAATAGGACAGTGAAGATGATTTGCCTTTGTCGACTTACGGTACTAAAGTGGTTATTCCGCAGCAAAGACGAAAGAAAAAGAAGCGAACATATAACTGGATCAAACAAGATATAACTTCCAATTTTGCTGAATGGCAGAGTATGCAAGGTCCAAAACAGCTATATACGCCTCTACAAGCATTTTCCTTATTTCTTGATGATGAAATTGTAGATATGTTTGTGAATTACACAAATATTTTCGCAACTTCACATAATCGCAAGGCAGATATTTCTGGAGATGAAATCCGTTGTTTCTTTGGTGTTCTATTATTGAGTGGATTTTCATGCCATCCTCGGAGATCAATGTTCTGGGAATCATCTAAAGCCACGAACAATGCTCTGGTATGTGAAGCGATATCTAGAAACAGATTCAAATATATCATGCAGAATATCCACTGCTGTGACAATAGGAATCTAGATCTGAATGACAAGTTCGCTAAAATTCGCCCTCTATATAACTGATGCTCTGAATAGCAAATTTATAGCAATGGCACCATATGAAGAAAATCATAGTATTGATGAGTCAATGGTACCCTACTTTGGCCGACACAGCACTAAGCAATTTATAAAAGGTAAACCCATCCGATGGGGGTATAAGTTTTGGACAGGCACTACTCGATATGGCTACATTAAATGGTTGGAACCGTATCAGGGTTAAACAACTGTTATTTTCCAAAAATATAAAGACAGGCCTCGGTGCAAGTGTTGTTCTTGAATTTGCTAGTGTACTCCGAGACAGATATCCTGATTCGCAATGTCATTTATATTTTGATAACTTTTTCACCTCGTTGCCATTATTAGAAGAACTGACGGATATGAACCTGAAAGGAACTGGAACCATTCGTGAAAACAGGGTGGGTAAGGACTGCCAGTTACCTCATTCTAAAGTTATGAAAAAACAAGTGCGAGGCTCTTCCGAATACCTCACTTCCGATACTAATAGAATTACTGTATGTAAATGGAACAATAATAATGTGGTTACTTTGGCTTCGAACTGTACGAAGGTTTTTTCCACAGTACCTGTCAAAAGGTTCTCTCAAAAAGAGAAAAAACAAATTCATGTGCCGCAACCACAGATCGTGAAGAAATATAACGAGAATATGGGAGGGGTCGACAGAGCGGATCAAAATATGAGCCTCTACAGAACTTCTATCAGGGGAAAAAAATGGTATTTTCCATTGATATGTCACTGTCTCGATATGGCTTTACACAACGCTTGGCAGATATACAGGCAATAAGGAGGTGGCAGAAAAGACCATTTGAGCTTTCGACAATCAATTGCAGTTGCAATATTAGAACATATGAACACTCACGATATGATAGACTGGACCATTTGATAACATATCAAGATAAACAAACAAGATGTTGTGTTTGCCATAAAAAATGTAATTTTTCATGTAGAAAATGTGAAATCGCATTGCACCCATTGGGCCACTGTCCTTTTAAAAAAATACCAGTTTCCGAGAAAAACAGGAACTCCATGTGCCAAAAATATATTGTAATATGATATTGACACCTGAATGGAATCATTTCATGAAAAAGACCTGGGGAAATAAAGAAAAAATAATTTTGGCCCTAACTGGGTTAAAAAATGGACTCAAATATTTCATTCAATGACAAACCTCAGGGAAAACAACACTATATATTATACTTTACACTTATATAATACATTATATAATACATTTCATAAAATCATTTCTGGGGAAAGGAGCAAACATGTGGATGAAATTTGTGAAAGAAAAAATCACAAATGTGACATAGTTTTATTGTAATTAATTCTTTTTATAGAAATGAAAAAAAATTTATAACTTTTGAACCATCAAAAATTGGATAACCACATATACGGTTAGTTTGATTGGAAATGACCCCCCGTACCGCCCCACTTCTTTTGATTCATATTACTTATGGGACATCCTGTATAACATGGTCAAATAAACTACTCTAATCTACTCATTATATTAAAATCAGAAAATTGTCGACGTAAAATTTGAAGTTTTTAACGGTCCCGTGGGAAAAAAGTAATTTATGAAAAGTTAAATTTTATAACCTGTTAACTGAGATCAAATTTCAAACTTTTTTCGCGTCACAGAAAAAAAGATATATTATTTCTAATCATGAAAAACAATCATTTTAGCATGAAGGATACAAATGACAGGGATCATTATTATCTAATCATATTGTACTCACTTAACTGATAAGAAAGGTGAACATTCGCCAATAATTCGAATATCTCAATTATTTTGTGTCTAGATGGGAAGTTGATCAGGTTTCTCCAACCTAGGGTTGTTCAAATTGTACAACCACTTCATTGTACTAAGCCATGATGGAGAATAAAAAGGAAGAGAAGAAAAAAGAAGTGGAGTGTGTGTACCCAGATGGTGGGTACGGTTGGGTCATAGTGTTTGCCATTGTATTGATAAATGTAAGTTCTTTTTATCTCTGACTAGATTTATTCATCTGATTAGTTTGTTTGATAATGGTATATTGAATTACGACGCTGTCTAGTAATTGGAATTCTTTCAGGAGTGTGAATCTAATTTCTATCTAGTTATTGCTCTATAAAGTTTCTCTCCTGTTTTTGATTATCTCTCTCAAGTTTTCGAAAACCAATCAGAAACGTCGTTCTCTCGGAATCTCATGTTGTAGTACAGTATCATTTTTCATCAACTTATGAAAAATAATCGGACTTTCTATACTGACCATGCACCAACCTTGTTTCTCAGATAATTTCATGATGTAAGGAGATGTTTTGGGTCGTAGTACGAAGTAATTGATGTATTCGAAACTTTAATAATCGAAAGATATTTCACAAATCAAAATGACTAAATACTGATGACAGGAGAATCTGAAGGCACCCATCACAAGGAAATAATAATGCGGTCTCCACGGCGACGTATACTATTCGGGGTGATGTCTTCCTCTGCTATTTAGGATTTCAGCAGGTCTGGGTTACCTGGGTCAGTTGACTCAGTGGTAGGTGTATTTAATAACGTTACAATGACATTTATTTTAATCAGTTAATTCAGCAGGTTCCGATTTCAGCATTATTGTCTTATCAATTATGATATAGTCATGGGAATAAAACTCGTGATACTAATTTTTCTGGAGATTAACATTATTCAGATTACTGCTCAATTTCGCTGATGACATTGGCCTAACTATGACTCGACATATGAGTCCTACTTGGTGGTTTCAAATATTGCAATAATTTCTATATTTTCCAGTCGTATCAGATCTAGAGCATGCATGATGATCTTACAAAAAAAACGCACATACAATGATAAAATCAATCCAACCAGATATGAACTTTATTCGCAATAATACATCTAAAAATATCAACTGTTAAGCTCGAAAAATTTTTCTGAAACAACATAAATGTATTGAACGATGACAAGGCACGCCATTCTGTAAATTTTTCAAAATTCTTTGGTTCAGCATTAGTTGCATATTACAAAAACTGCAATGCCGAATACATGAAAATACGACGATATTTTTCCATCATCCGTTCATCCTGGTTTCATCAATGGAATATACTTAACAAACACAAATCGTTTTATTAATGAAAATCGAAAATTTCTACTCTTTTTAATCATTATTAGCTTATATTCAACTTGCAATATTCTGTGATATAAGTATGTTTGCTCGAGTGGAATCTTTGAACTCAATTTTGAAGTAGATTTCTTCAATCGATTGAGCTGACATTTTGTATACACGTTCAGTTTGAATGACAATGCACGTTAAGGTGTGTGACGTTATTCTAAATCCAATATGGAGGACCATCCAATATGGAGGACCATCCAATATGGCGAAATGGTTATTTTTAATGCACTTCTACAATATGAGAATCAAATGAAAAGGCTCGTTGATAGCAACTCGAAAAATAAAGTGACGTCATTCTAAATCCAATATGGCGGACAATCCAAGATGGCGCCGGAATACTCATTTCCATTATACTCCAACAATATGGGTATCAAATAGAGAGGCTCGTTGAGAACAACTCGAAAAATCATGTGACGTCATTCTTAATCCCATATGGTGGACCATCCAAGATGGCGCCGGACTAGTTATTTTTAACCTGCTTCTACAATATGGGTATCAAATGAAAGGGTTTGTTGAAAGCAACTGGTAAAATAATGTGACGTCATTCTAAATCGAATATGGTGGACCATCCAAGATGAACACTATTGAAGTTTTTTGAGCTTTCCTATAACATGAAAGGGATCGCTAAGAATAATAATAATAAATAATAATAGTTTATTGAACATGAATACATAAATAGAAATATACAAATACAATCGGGTAGTACAGAAATCATAATATAAGTACATAATGATATAGTCTAAATATTACAATAAACCGGAGGTACCCACAAAGTCAAAAGACTGTGCGTGGGATATCTTATCATTCTTATCATCATATAAAATAGTATGTTCAAATAATATTTCGAATTAATAGTTAATTACCTATTGTATTATTAAATAAAATTTAAATGAATGTATAATTAATTGATATTTTTTGAAATTTGACGAATCAAGATACAAAAATAATATGAATCGAATATTCAATACACCTTCATAGACTAACATATAGACAAAAAGCAATATATACTTGAGAAAAAAAAAACGTTTAAAATAACTCTAGTACCTAATTTAATAGCTCATGGAAAACGACGTGCCAATCAAATAATTTATTCAGTTCCGACTTATCCAGTACTTGAAGAAAATGTTTAACTTTTTTCTTGAAGCGATGTTTTGTGCGAATTTCAATTATTTCACTAGGAAGTATGTTTCGGGGATATGTAATAACAATTTCGTTTTCCTATGTAGTAGAGCAGTTGGGGGAATTGGGGTGGAAATAATTTCCACAAAAACGCAGTTTTCATTTTCTGAAGCCTCATTCGACCCCTTACACTATATTGAAAATATAGATGCATTCTTTCATGCAAAAATGTTTTAATGCAACTTTTCATATTTCAGGTGCCCAAACCGAAATGATTGTTTCACAACTCAACACATGCTCCGCTACCTATGTTAGGATCTTCAGGATAAGATTCAAACGAATTTCATAATCTTCCTAAAAATGATAATATGGTTAGCAGATCTCAAAATTCGTGTCGAGGTGTGAAACAAGCATTTTGGTATGTGATTGAAACTATTCTCTGTGATCGTGAAATTCGTGAATGAAAGGTTCCATTATTTGATATATCATTCCAGGTATATCTGAATATAGTGAATTAAAAGCGATGGAAGATAACAAATGTTTGTTATTTTCGTTTAGTTCTGAAGATAGTTCGAATTGTGTTAAATTGACTGCTAAAGGTGCCCAAGGAATTATAAGTGCTAGCAAGTAGGAGCAAGACAAAATAATTGACTTGGAACCAGTGCCTATTCATCCTCTAATTGTTGACGTCGAATGTCGTCGTCTGTACGTAAATCCTAACAAGGTGAAGAATGATCTCAGGTTTAAATCAGATTCTGATAGAGAAACATCAACTAGTTGCTGCAGCAATAGAGCTTTGTGATCTGAGCTGCCGACATTCGCGTTCAAAAATAATTGCTTGTTTTGTTGCCAATTCATCAAGGAAACTGAGAAAATATTTAAATCTGCAATTTTACCAGTACGAACTTTCGCGTTTCGATGTGTGTGATGCGAGGAACGATTTTTGATCATCAAATGTCCTTGCACGTCTTCTTTCCGTTATCGATACTTGCCAGCAGCAGATGCTCTGTATAATCAGAAATATAGTGTGAATTTTGGAAAAGACTACTCTATTCCCGATCTATTCCTAAGAAACATCAACATGATATTCCCAATAAACAGACAAAGTTAGCAGGACGTCCTTCTGATAAAAATAAAGAAGATGCCTTTTTAAAAATATGCAGGTGGCTCAAGAAAAATGATGAACCAATTTCAGTTCAGGAGTTGCTGGACAAAATGGCAGAGTTGCTGCCAGAAAATATCGAACCTTACACTGTTCGTCGTATGCATAAAAAATATTTCTCGGATGACATTATGATATTGAGACAAAAAGGTAGAGCTAATATGATCGTAACAGGGAAAACAGTTGCCAATATAATTTGTGATTATCGATAACGAGCGACAAAAGTGTTCAGAAGATCCTAATGCTGAAAAATTTCGGATAGTTGAAGCAACAGCTCAACTGATTGAGAATTCAATCAAGTTGATGAGAACATCCTTAGAGTTTTATCCTTCACCAGAAGAAATAAGTTCCGAGCAGGAAAATAATAAGCTTTCACCCGACATTTTGAAAACATTCTTGGATATAATAATCAACAAAAAATCCTCAAGTTTGAAGAAAAATTCAATTGAACAGGCACTAATGCAAACTGCAAGGCCACGATCTATCATAAGTTCCATTCATCTAGGTGTTGGTGTGCAGTATCATCGAGATTTCCGATCTCGGTTACTTGTCGATGAACTTCATAAGCTTGGGTTTCCTGTATCATATAATGACGTACGGAAGTACTTGCAAAACTGAAGTAGATGAACCTTGTGGAACCAGATGAAAATGTCGACGATACGGAAGTATTGTACAATAATTGTTCGAGAAGGTACCAATATTCCAATCGAGGAAGTTGAAGATGATGAATGAACTTCTGTTACATGCCAAATATGCCATTTTTATTAGGTTTATGATTTAAACGTATTAACGAATAAACGAATATTGGAAACACTGTATTTTTATTTTGCACAAAGGTATCATTCTATATTTTCTCATATGTGTTATTCTATGCATTCTGAACTGAGAAAAGCAAAAAAAAATTTGTGGGAATTATTTCCACCTGAGACTATTTTCTATCGCATATCTAGTACACTAATGGTTTTTTGTGCAAGTTGTGTCTTGTACTTTGTGTAGCGTTGGCGAGTATTGTAGTACATGTGATTGATTCTTTGTATTTCATCTTTTTTATCGAATTGATTTATAATAATTGAGTAACAAAAGAGTTGCTGAATGTCGAAAGTTTTCGTATCTTGAAATAACTTTGTAGATGGATAAGTGTTTTGTCCCCACGTAGGTGTTTGTTGTGTTTGTTTAATAGTTTTAATCAATTTTGTTTCAGTATAATTTAATTAATAATCAACCCAAAATCGAGCATACTTTCGGACCTCTCCTGGTATCATATTTATCGCGAGAATGCCTTTAAAATCTTTAGCGCGCCCTCTGTGGTGAAACTAGGAAGAGGAGATAAGACAATTCGGTATAAAGCAAGTGTGGTCCGCTATTAAAAATTCCATAATTTTGTGAAACAGACAATAATGGTGTTGTCACATCAGGTGTTGTGATTCCGGTTTCCTCATCATTCCCGTGTGTGTGCTGGCCAGCAATGATCGCGACAGAAAAATAAAAAGGTAAGATTTTAAAGGCTCGTTTTATAAGTTATTCGATTATTATTTTTCTCA